TTTTTTTTTTTTTTTCTCTTTAGAATGATCTGAGAACAGCCATGCAGAATTCAGCGGTAGGCAAAGAAAGAAGACAAGATGGGTGTGGATGCCAACGACAGGGAAACAGACACTCTCTGGCACAAAAGGCCCATTTCCATTCGCTCGGGGAACTTCATTTGACCCAGTGCTGTTTGTAGACGATAAACCACCCCCAACACAAAGGCTTGAGGGGCATAGCTGGCAGGGGTCTGAGATGGCAGCAAAGGTCCTGACACCTCCTTCCCCTTCTGCTGTGAACCTCTTCTGCCCCTGACTTTTGTGCCTCCTGACCTAGTCTGCAGTCTCCTGCATTGTTGTCAACAGCTAGCTACTTCGTGGGTGTTATGGCCTGAATTCTGTTCCGAATACAACGCTAGTAGGTTCCACTAATTAATTAAATTGTACTTCATAGAGCTGGAGTCAGGGCTCTTGAATACAAGATGCAAATTTATGCAACATATGCAAATCACTCATGTTCTCAAATTCCATGAACAGAATCTGGTAGCCTTGAGATAAAAAAGCCCCTGCCAAGCATCATCTCTTCTAATTATTGCTTAATTCCCCCCACCCCTACCCTTTCACATCGAACTAACACTTTCAGGCTTGGCAGAAATACAACTGAGAGTTGGTTATAAACAGAAAGTTGCTTAAGGGCAAAGACCCTGCCATCTACTTTATGTTCTCCAGTGGCTCCTGAGGCACCACGGAGCGCCGATATTACTACATAGGGCACACCCCCGCCAGCCCTGACGACCACGTTCTGAGTAAGTCCGACGAACAAAAGTTGAGAGCCCTGAAAGCTATGCAGAACATTCTAGGAGCAAGGTGATGACCTGCAGTCATACATGTGGCTATGTGAATTTAAGTTAATTAAAATTAAACACATTTAAAAAATCAAATTCTCAGAAGAGCAACAGTTCAAGTGTCTAACAGCTACACGTGGTTAGTGATTTTCTTACTGGGTAGCATAGATATGGGACATTTCCATTATTACAGAAAGTTCTGCTGGACAGTACGGATCCAGATACTGGCTACTCAAAGTCTGGTCCGTGGACCGGCAGTTTGGCATCACCTGGGAGCTTCTAGGAGATGTGGGGCCTCGGGCTCCACTGCAGGTCCACTGCATCAGAATCGCTGTTCTAACCAAGTCCCCAGTTCATTCACATGCATGTCAGAGTGAGAGGCACTGGTTTGGCTCCAGAATAGAAATCAGGTTCTCAAGTTTTAGCATGCATCAGACTCCTCTGGAGGACTTATTAAACACAGATTGCTGGCCATCAATCTGAGAGTTTCTGACTAAGTAGGTGTGTTAGTTTCCTAGAGCTGCCATAACAAATTACCACAAATTGAATGGTTTAAAAAAAGAGAAATGGCCTGGCCAGTGTAGCGCAGTGGCTGAGCATAACCCATGCATCAAGAGGTCGCTGGTTTGATTCCCGGTCAGGGCACATGCCCAGGTTGTAACCAAATCCCCAGTGGGGGCATGCAGGAGGCGGCCAGTCAATGTTCTCGCTCATTGATGTTTCTATCTCTCTCTCTCCCTCTCTCCCTTCTTCTCTCTCTCTTTTTTTTTTTTTATCCTCACCCGAGGACATTTTTCCATTTTTTGTTCAGGTAGAGTGGGAGGGAGAGAGAGGAACAGAGAGAGAGAGAGAAGCATCGACGCGAAAGGAACACATCGAGCGGCTGCCACCCGCACGACTGACCAGGGCCGGGGACAAAATGCAACCGAGGCACGTGCCCTTAGCGGGAACCGAACCCGGGTCTCTCTGGACCACAGGCCGACGCTCTAACCGCTGAGCCAAACCGGCCAGGGCTCCCTTCTTCTCTTTTTAAAATCAATAAAGATAAAATTTTTTTTGGAAAAAAAAAAGAAATAGAACAAGAGAAATGTATTCTCTCTCTCAGTTCTGGAGGCTAAAAGTCTGAAATCAAGGTGTTGGTAAGGCCACGCTCCCTCTGAAACCATCCTTAGGGAGGAAAACATTCTTCCTTGTCTCTTCCTAGCTTCTGGTGGCTTGCTGGCAATCTTTGGTGATTTCTGACATGAAGCTGCATAACTCCAATCTCTGCCTCCATCATCATATGGCATTTTCCACTTGTGTATCTGTATCTATGATCTGTCTCTTTTACTTTAAGGACACTTGTCATATTGCGTTAATGGCCCACCACACTCCACTATGACCTCAGCTTAACTTAGCTAATTACATCTGCAATGGCCCTCTTTCACATTTTCATGTACTGGCACTGAAGACTTCAACACATCTTTTTGAGGGGGACACAATTCAATTCATAAGCAGAGGTCGAGGGTGGCACCTGATAATTTGCTTTTCTAACAGCTTCCCAGGTGATGCTGATGCTGCTCCAGGGACCACACTTTGAAAATCACAGGTCTAAAATATCTACAGAACAAGATTCCATAGAACTAAATGTTGGATTATACACCAGAAATAACTGTGTTCAAGCTCCCAAGTGTGCAGAACTCCATTTTAAAGCATACATGAAAGATTGTCATCCAGTCTGTGTGTGAATACATTTGATGACAGGGTTCTTGTTATAGCAGAACAGCCTTCTCCACAGCTATGCCTGGGAAAATTTGCACCCTTTGAACTTTCTGCATATCCGATATATCTACATATCTGATGGCAGCTGAATGTCTCAATATTGAACTCTGCATTTCCTGTGTGTGACAGAGTTCTCAGAATCCTCTAGATGCTGCTGGCTTGCTCCTGAGGGCATACTTGTTGAGATTTTTAGATTTTTGATAATCATGTCTCCTATTGGTTATGAGTTAATTAGAAATAGACATTGAAATCCAACAGATGAAGATTGAAAGGTCATCCTTATTTTCAGGAAACAGATTGGAAAGTAGAACCTGGACCTTGAGCACAATCAGCACAAAGCTAACCCCACCTAATTGAATTTATCTGACAGTCAGATACAGAGAAGCAGAACAACTGAATCTACACCACTGTGCAAGGTTTTGAAGGTAAGAGTTACAGCTATTAGCACATAAAGAAATGTACCACCACTAGAAGACAGGTTTTCCTGAAACAGAGAAAGGAAAGCTGTCTAGTTTCTCGTGGCCAAGCCCACCAATCCAATAAGAGCTTCTTTCTCCTCCAGTTGCCTATTTAGCATTAATTCCCACAATTTCCCTCCTTTCAAACAGAACCAAGATACTATTTACACAAGCCCCCTCTTCCATGTTTCCCAAACTTCTCAGAAAGCTGACCCTATTCTCAACTCAAGCCAATGGGAGTGACTCTGATCCCTCGCAAGTGATTGGTTCCTGGATTTAGACCTAAGCCAATCAGTGCATGGCATTATTCTAAAGCCTGCTGTTAAAACAGGAATGAGCATATAATACAAATTAACCTAATTAGACTAAAGGTGAGAACTTTTGTTCAGTGGTTGGAAGAGAGACTTTCACATGAAGAAGCATTTTGTACCAGGAGGGATGGTAGCATCTTCCAACCACAAGAGGAGCCAAAAAGCCTCCACCTGGAGGCTGAAAGTTCAAAGAAGAGCAGAAAAACAGGTCCCCAACTCCAGTGATATTGTGTTTGCTCTACATTTGGAGAGTTTAACTAAAGATACTAAATTTTCTTATTGTTTAAGCTAGTTCATGTCAGCGTTTTTGTCATTTCCAGGTAATATAATTCTTACCAATAAAATATTCAAATATTGTTCTCATGGATTAGTAGAAATGGCCTAAGGGACACCTGAAGAAATAGAACTAAGTCCTTACCCCCCAGTGCTCCATTTTAATTCATTAATGTGACTCAAAGTATGTGTACTTTACTGGAGAGATTATTCCAGATACTGTGCCACCATCAACTTCTAGCACCCAGCACAGCACCTGCCAGGGGATACACTCTAAGCGATCAATTCCTGAACACACAGAGCCTGCATTAACATTTTTTATCAGGTGGATTGCTGTTGTCAGATTAAGTTCAGATGAACTAAAGCCCTTAGGACATTTTTATATACATCGATGTCAAAGCTGTCTGTCTCCACCTGTATCTGAGCAATTGCATTGTGTATGGAGTTTTCTTTTTAAAACGTTTTAACCTAAATAAAGGTCTTGACATTTACTGCTATTCAGTTGTATCTAGAAGATTCCAGCCTAGGTTGCATTCAGTTGATGTAATTTTTTATTGTGGTTCCATCATTTGTCATAATGAGCTATTCTTCCTATTTTGATACTATTTTCAAAAAAAAAGATATATATTTCTGTATATCTTCATACGGATCAAAGAGCAACATGTTGATGAAACAGCAGCAAGAGGAGAAGACTGCCTCTAGGTTCCTTCACTGTTTGCCGAAGTGGCCCCTCTACCCTCTGCACGCATTCCTAACCTGACCAGTAAAGTGAGAACATCCGCCCTTCCAGAAATGTCGGGATCATCACTTCTACCACTTCTAGTTCACTTCCTCTATCTCCAACCAAGCCTGGTGATGGGTGAATTTTAGAGAAGGCATTAAAAATGCCTAACCACGTCCTCTCTGAGTTCTTTGAAGTTGTCTTTTCAGGACCATAATAAGCTGTCCTCCTCCATCAAGCACTGAGCTGCCCCCTAGGGGGAGACCCACAGTAGTCCAGCTGTGCCCATGACTGAATGGGGGATTTTAACTGTGTGAGGGTTGGGATATTAGAATAGGGGGCAGATTGTGGGCACATAATCAACCATGTTCTCCCATCAGTTTTATTAAAAACAAAGCTAAGATTTATTTCTCTATTGGGTTGATACCTGAGTTTATTTATTTAATGTTTTAGAATTTAGACAGGTAAGAGCAATGTGTTATTAATTAATTTCCCAAAGCTCAGTCTTAAACAACACTCTAATTATTCAATGGCTTCAAATTCAACAAAATATACTACTATCGAGGCCTTCCACACAATCAAGATGGAAGCAGTCTATGGTAGTCCCCAAATCTGATAACTCAATGATACAACTAAAACAGGAAAAGTAACGAGTTGGTTATGACTTATTTTGAACAAACGGGTTATAATTTAAAGTGATTATTGTCTAAATGCAGGTTGCTGTAACAAATTATCATAAACTGGTGGCTTACACAGCAGACATGTATTTCTCACAGTTCTAGAGGCTGGGAAGTCTGAGATCATAGTGCCAGCATGGTCAGGATCTGGTGAGCTCTTTTTCTGGTTTGCCATCTTCTTGATGTGTCCTCACATGGGGGTAGGGAAGAGAGAGGGAGAGAGAGAAACAGAGTGCACGCTGGCTTCGGTGTCTCTTCCTAGAGGGCATCATCCCATCATCGTGGCTTCACTCTCATGACTAATCACCACCCAAAGGCCCAATCTCCAAATACTATCACATTGAGATTTATGGTTCCAACATTTATGAATTTTGGTGGGAACACAAGCATTCAGTCCACAGCAATTATTATGTTCTGTTAAGATGTCATATATTATCTATTAGTAAAATCTAGATGCATATTACAATAAACCAGACTCCAAATTATACATTTGTAGTTTCCATGATTCTCACTTTTCCTCCGTTCCTGAAAATCAGACTGCTTCTCCATATTTTGTCTCCCATGAGCCACAATTCTTCTGAGATTTCTGTGGCTATGTAATGGCACTTGAATTTCCTTGGGAATGTCATTCCCAAGGTCCAGAGACTTTAACTCATTAAAGCCACCAGATCAACTTCTATCCAGTCTTATCTCTTGGAAAAATTAAAACAAACAATGGCAATTGTCACTCCAAGCTTTCAACTATCTGTAAAAGATTCAAAGATCCATGGTCAGTAACAATGTGTTACTTTGCTGAGGCATTTGGCTCTGGCTCACTCTCATAACTGTACATGGCATCAGCTTTCTTAGCTATTGTCAACCTAGTCAACTGCCCAACATCCCCAACTCCACTCTATGTTCTGTTTTCTTGTTTTGTTTTGTTTTTGTTTATTCATTAACTTTAGGGGGGGGAGGAAGAGAGAGAGAGAGAGAGAGAGAGAGAGAGAGAGAGAGAGAGAGATATTCACTGTTCCACCTATCTACGCATTCTTTGGTTGATTCCTTGTAAGTGCCCTGACTGAGGATCAAAGCTCAACCTTGGCATATCAGGATGATGCTCCAATCAACTTTGCTACCTGGCCAGGGCGTATAGTATGTTCTTACTCTTTACTATACCATCATGGTGATTATGACTTCTTTATGAAAAAGATGCTAAAATGGGAGGGGGGCATTTCTGATTATAATGAAGTAAAAAAGGGCTAAAAATAAAAAAGATGATTTTCTTGAATTTGAGAGTCTGTGGAAGTCTTGAATCGAATGTCTCATGCACTTTGGTGGCATGATGATTAATTGAAATATTGATTTGCATTGTGCTGTTTGTATTTTTATCTTCCCTTCATTCCAAGAAAGTGGTTGAGTCATCGACTGACTGACAAGCAACATGTTGACAAGCTTAGGCTAGGACTTCTGGAGGAAGATCAGAGAGAAGGAGAAACAGATTTTGTTCCCTAGACAGAGAAAGGTTAGAATTGTAGGTCTATGATGCCCCTGACCAGGGGACGCAGAAAGATCACACAGGGTACAGCTTGCAGCTTCACTTAATCCCACTGCAACAGAGAGCAGCAGGCTTCCAAGGACCACACGGGGTGAAGAGAGATAAGAGCAGGAAAAAACGATGTGACCTGGAGATTAGCTATTTGGTAGAACTTGCTAAATGTCATCAATATTTATTTTACCTCTCCTCCCTGGGCACAAAGGTCAACTCTATGTCTCTGCCAGCGCCCCTGCATCCAGGTGGAGCCAAGAGCTTGAGTCTGGCTGAGGCAATACGGGCTGAAGTCATGTACACCACTTTTCTGCCTGGCTCCTAAAGATGTCCTCAAGATCCTTCCTTTGCCACCTCCAACATCTCTGTGGTCCGAGGGGCAGGAACGAAGGACTGCAATGCCCAGAGGATGCTGGAAGAGCCCACGTGGCAAGGAAGCTGATCCCTGAGTTAATGCCCAAGGAGCGCTGCCCAGAATGTCTTCCTGACCAGGATCGTCACATTGGACGTCGTGTGAGTAAGAAATACACTTCTTAAGACACTGTGATTTGGAGTTTTCTGTCTAATAACTAGAAAACTTAGGTATTTAATTTGGTTACTCTGCCTAATTCAGATGTTTTACCCCACTTTCCCCTGCAACACAGATGCCTCCCGGTGCTTATGTCTGGAGTGGAAGAAGAGACCCAAAGAATAGCTGAGAATGAATTTCTCGCCGGCTCCGTGGGATCCTGGGAGTTACATCGCATTTGATTTAAAGAAAATACATTTCTTTGAAACAAGACTTGACATTGGGGACTAAGAATTTTACCTCATTCCTCTATCTGAACTCCGTTTTCTTTCTGGAAAAGACACAAACTGAGCAATCTGTGCTCTTTGACAAATAGGGTTCTTCAGCAACACCTCCCGGCCCAGGCAGGTGGGCATCAGCTTCCTGACCGCCCTCTCCCATCCACTTGCCTCCAGCCCCTCTCCGCCTTCCAGGGGAGGGGTGCAAGCCTTCGCGATCTCATCTGGAAGGCAAAGAGCAAGGCTTTCTTTCAGGTCTTTTGCTTCTTTAGTCCATCAATTAGATTGAAATTTCAACTTCAGGCTGTTCTCCTGGTCTCTAGCGAGTGCTGTCGCCTGAAAAGAAATACCGCCCGCCACACACAGACGCTTTTGACAGCAGAGCGGCTCAAAGCCTCTCCATGCCTCTATTCCAAGAATAATCCAAGGGAAGGGCTATACCTGGGAGAGCTGAGTGCTAAAGCCCTCTCTGTCCACCGCTTCAAAAGAAGAACCACCCTCCGTCTGTCTTGATTTTGTGTTAGAGCTCTTCTTTTTCAGTGAAAAGTCCCTGCTCTCTATTCATTATAAAGAATAAAGAGCTTTTCAAGTGCGAGTTGCTAAACCCAGAAAGGCACAGAGCTATTTTTAAGAGGGTTTCAACTCTGAGCTGTGACACCAGGCCAGCCTGCCAGCAGCGAGGTCTTCCAGGGAGGCCGGGGGCAATCTCAGCCTCCCGTCAGGAGGGCACCTCTAGGCAGGAAGCTCCTGGGGCAGGCGGTCTAGCTCTCTGGCGCAGACAACCTTGCTGCCTTCATACCTGGCTCCTCTAGGCAGAACCTCGGGAAGGGGGGGGGAGTGGTTTTTATTCTCACCCATTTGAGGTTTGCCTGCTGCCTTAGGTTTCTCACATCCACTTCCTCCAAATAGGAAACAATCTGCTTGATTCCCATCCGAGAGCAGAGGGAGGAGGGGGGCCGTCTTTATGTCCTCTCCTATCTTCGTCAAGCCATATGCAACTGGCAGCCACCACGCTTCTCTCTGCGGGAAGAGGATAATCAGAGCTGGATCCTCCAGCGAAAGGAGGAACAAGCAGAATCAGCTGCCTCCTGTCCATCGCTGGTGGAAGCCTCGAGGCCGGGGTCAGTCTAGAGATCTTCTGAAGTGTCTGTGCTTAGGGGCGGGGAGCGGCTTTCAGATTCAGAGTTAGGGGACCTGGGTTCAGGTCTCCCCTCTTAGAGCCTCTGTTTCTTTAGTTTAAAATGAGGATAATACTACCGTCCCATCAGAGGCGCTGTGGGGAGCCCCCCCCCATTCTCACGTGGGTATGGAAAGGTGTGTCCACCCTGCAGTGTCACATACATGTCCGTCCTGGTCTGAGGGCTGGAGAGATGTGTGCTCTCACTTGTTTGTTTCTTTCGAGAGCTGAAGATGGTGCTGCTGGGTGACAGAGGGGATACTAACAATTTGGTTTTGTTTGTTTGTTTTAATATTTTTTCTTTATTGATTTTAGAGAGGAAGGAAGAGAGAGAGAGAGAGAGAGAGAGAGAGAGAGAGAGAGAGATTGATGAGAGAGAACATCGGCTAGCCGCCTCCTGCATGCCCCCCACTGGGAATTGGGTCCACAACCTGGGCATGTGCCTGACCAGGCATCGAACCAGCGACCTCTTGGTGCATGGGTCGATGTTCAACCACTGAGCCACACCGGCCAGGCAATACTAACAATTTGAAAGAAACTATTTATGGTTCAGGAAAATGGAGATTATTTTTCTATCCTCCCATTCCATTAAGCTTCTGCACCAGAAAAAAAGGGGGGGGGGGCATGGAATTAAAACTAATCCACTGTTCTTGAAGTTTCTGGAAGTAAAAGACACGCATGTATACTGAGATGGTGCGAAGAAAGAAAAATGATCAGCTAATGTCATACAAAGAAATGTCTAAAGGAAATAGAGAACTTATAATACACCCTGAACTATAGAGGTACAGAGCTTACAGGTGTATACATGATTCATTTTTATTTTTTAGGAAAATATAAAAGCCAGGAAAAATATAGGCAAAATAGAATGATCAGACCTAAGGGAAAAGATAGTGCACATATATGCAGCAGATAAGGTTATACTGTTACAAAGATGGGATAACCAGTTAGGCTCTGAGCTTCCAGGAGGCCAAAGCAAAAAGGGATATATGATGTTACGTATTTATATCTTTCATGAGGAACCCCCTACTGCTATCAATTCCTCATCCTTTTTTATCGTAAGGCTCATAAGCATGGATATTTATCTTCAGGGAGAGAATACTTAGGGAGTTTTATTATGGCATTCTTCAAGTATTTGATGGGCTGCCAAATACAAAAAGGAAAGATTGCTTTGGGTAATTCCAGACCACAAAACTAGAATCAACGAGTGTAAGTTAAGAGGAACAGATTTTGGTTAAAAATAAAGAACTTTCTAACAATTAGAGTTGTCCATAAATGGAATGAGCTGTCTGGCAAAGAAGTGAGCTCCCTGTTACTGGAAGTGATCAAACAGAGGCTGGCTTACCATCTGTTAAGGATAAAAAGGATTTGTGCATAATGAGAGAATTATGCAACAACATAATACAAGGCTCTTTGTGACAGTTTTATTTATAATAGTAGGAAAGAAAATAGAACCAAGCTAAATGTCCAACAAGAGGGTAGTCGGATTATTTATGGTACTCTCATATGATTTATCTTTTTACAGATTAAAGAATAATAATAATAACATAGGAAATGCTTAAAATCTATTACTAAGTTTCAAAAAGCAGGCTACTAAAATAGCATATATATAGTATAAAGGAAATTTATGTATGGAAAAAATAACACTACAGAGTACATACATGAAAACATTAACTGTGATTACCATTAGTGTTTGAACTATGGGTGATTTTCCTCTTCTGGGTTTCTCAGGTTTTTCCAAGTTTTTTACGTTGAGCACTTACCACTAAGTAATTAGAAAAATAAAGAAAGTAAAAAGAAAAAACTTCAAAAGAGATTCTTATTAACTTGTAGATGAAAGTAGATGATCCCTACAGTTTTTTAAACCTAAGATTCTATGGCTTTTATTTTGACTATAGGTTGATTAACATGTTTCTCTTAAAATAATCTGGCTTTTAAAAAAGTTTTAATCAAATAGAAACACCTCCCCACTGAAAATATATCGGTTTAAATAATCAGGTTTCAGTGTAAGCGAATGCATTTCTGATCGCTGTGGCCATCTGAAGTCTCTTCCAGAAATATGTGGGCTGTGAATCTAAGTCAGCCCAGGAGAGTGGAAAGAGCTTACAATTTGGAATCAGACACCCCTGGGTCTCACATTTGGGCTCCACTTCATACCAGTTTCTGCAGCTTGAATAAGGAATAATAATGACAGTAAAATCTCTAGAAAATTCACTATGTGCCTGGTACCGTTTAAGTGCGTTACATGCAATGGAACCCTCAGAACAGTTCTCTGAGGTGACTTCTATTCTCTTTATTTTTAAGATGATAAAACTAAAGCACAGGGAACTGCAGTGTCTTGTCAAGGTCAGACAGCCAGAGGACGGCAGCCTCAGGCAGTTCGCACAGCCTCGGGGTCCGTGTTGCGGGCCACGGGACTGGACAGCCTTAGGGAGCGTGGAAGGGTTCACTGCATGAACACACACGGAGTAGCGAACAGAAAAGTGGGCAGTCAGTATGTTGAGTTTCTCCCCAAAGTGTTCCCTAGCTCTGTGAAAGACTTTTTTATTCTCCTCCCCAGGTCTGCATTCAAACGACACCCCAGGGAAGTGTGGCTCTGTGGTAGGCGGCCTTTGCTATCAATGGCACTCATGTCACACTCGGGGATATTAGAAATCATGTCCCACAGGACTCCATTCTGGGACTGATTCTTTAATATTTCATCAATAATTTACATGGATAGAACAGAAAATAAGCTTCTCAAGCTGACAGATGATACATGCTGTTAGCAGATGACACCCATCGTCAGTTAGGAAGGCTAGCATCCAGGACAGGATTAGAATTCCAAATGGTCTGGCAAGATGGAGAAGAGGTGGAGTCGGGAGGGATGAACTTCAACTAGCACAGAGCAATGCACTTATCAGGAGGAGCGCAGTATACGGCTTAGCAAGGGCAGCGACTAACAGTGAATGGTCGTTGCTGGAAAAAGTGAATGATTCAAGTTTCTCATAAGGTGGCGATAAGACAGAAAGTCAAGTATGATTCTGGAAATGTACTGAAAAATAAGACTATTTGGGTAAAATTGATGTTTTTCATTGTAGATCATATTTTAAAATCTCTTTTTAGAGTGTTTTGTCCCCCCCACCCCCCAATATCGTTTTGGACATCTTGGAAAAAGGCACACAGAAAGCAAACGAAGTCTTTATGGTTGCCAAATACAACCTGGGGATCGTGAAGGAACTGAGACCTTTTCATTGAAGAAGACAGGTGTTGGTGCTGGGTGCTCGGAATCCATGAGAACCAGGACCTGGTGTCTGCTCATGATTAGCTCAGAGATAAGAGGGAAATCACTTTTAAGTTTAGAAAGACTATTATTTAGAACTCTGATATATGTGTCATCCCTGGCTAATTCATATGCTTCTCTTTCTTTTATCTCCTCTCCTTCCTTCCTTTCTTTCCACATTTTATCTTTTCTTTTTCTTCCCTTCCCTTGACTTTAGGTCTGTGATTGGAGCACACTCACATGGCAGGTATATTCTGCCAAGTCCCCTTTGAGATGTTGCCAGTATACCAAGCTCCTCTCTTCTATTATGGACGATCTAATCGATTTCGAGGCAATTCTGTAAACTTATCTTTTACCCTTTATGTGTACTCCAATAAAATTGCAGGCATGAACCAAGGCTGGGACAGAGAAAATCGTTTTTAGATACTAAATAGGTCAGTTTGGTTGAAGAGAAGGTTAGAGTAGATATATTATATTAGAAATTTTATAATATTAAGAAATTTGAACTTTCTCTCATTGGTAACAAAAAGTCAATGGGAGTTTATGAGAAAAGAGGTAGCAAGATCACTGGAGGGGTTTAGGTTGTTAGGGAACAGGCTGGAGGCAAGGGCCCTATTAGAAGGTGGTTATTAGGCTATAAACAATAAGGACCAGAACTAGGCAGTAGAGCTAGAACAGGCGGAAGATATGTGGAAGTGGGAAACACTGTAAAGGAAAAATCAATACGATTTGGTGCCTAAGTAAATCTGAGCATGAAAGGAGAGAGGAATGGAAAACAGCTCATAGG